GTTGAAAAACACAGGTTGTTGTTTCACGATTGTTGGTGAGAGCTTAAAACTAAGGAGTTGTTATGTTGTGGTATCGTTACACGGGTTCGAGGTGGAAAGTTTTGGCCGTGTAGCTTGGCTGATGGAAAGGTGTCAGCGTGTTGTTGGTGATTTTAGTATCATCAATGTATTTTAGTAGTAATGTGATTTACTGTAGGCCGATGCAATTATACGTTAAGCTTGGAAACGAGTTAGGGTAGTGCGGAGTGCACGCTCGTCGAGCCAACGTACAATTGAGTGTGAATAATTGAAAAGGGGTTCCAAGGGGCAGAGCCCCTGGCGGGGTGCGGGGCAGCGCCCCGCTGGGGTTCCAAGGGGCGAAGCCCCTGGCAGGGTGCGGGGCAGCGCCTCGTGGGTTTCCAAGGGGCAGAGCCCCTGGCTGGGGTTCCGGTGCCAGGTCAAGTACTTGAAGGGTACTATAAATTATGGATTATCATATATGGGATTTCCTTTTGTGTTAGAGGGTTATTCGGATGCTAGTTGGATAAATAGTGCTGAAGATTCATCCTCTACAAGTGGATGGACGTTCTTGCTTGGGGGAGGCGCCATCTCATGGGCTTCTAAGAAGCAAACGTGTATAACAGGCTCCACAATGGAATATGAGTTTGTAGCATTAGCTGCTGCTGGTAAAGAAGCAGAATGGCTAAGGAACTTGGTATATGAGATTCTGATATGGCCTAAACCGATATCACCAATTTCTATCCATTGTGATAGTACAGCCACATTGGCTAAAGCTTATAGTCAAATATACAATGGAAAGTCTAGACATTTGGATGTTAGACATAGTATGATTAGGGAATTAATCATGAATGGGGTGATATCTATTGAGTTTGTTCGGTCGCAACAAAACTTAGCTGACCACTTGACAAAGGGGTTAGCTAGAGACTTAGTGAAGAAGTCGGTAATTGGAATGGGATTAAAGTCCATTTAAATCTATTAGTTGTGGTATACCCAATTCCCTTCTAATACAATGTTAGAAGCAGAATTCAATGTGGAAAGATCATAGTTAGAGATTGAAGCAATTGTGTTTATCTTTCCAAGGTATGTGCTCAGACCTGCAAGTGTTGGCTAGGTTGAAGTATATCTTCTTAATGGTTCTTTTGGAAAATTGCAAATGCAGGTGCAAGATTAAAAGGATCACCTATGTGAGCATGAAGTTTTGCCGCTTCAAGAAGCTTGGACTTGGCTTCCTATATGCTTATTAATGGATAAGGACACATGACTTGTAAAGTGTCAAGTATGAATAGTAGAGTATTGTAAGAAACATATGTGTACTATATCTTCAGATATTCAAATGGATTGACGGGTTCATACGCTATGACACCTCGATTTTCGAGTATTTGGAATGTGTACTTGTACTAAAATGAAAATTCAATCGTAAGACATTTTCATCTATGCATTTGGTTGATTGTTATACCTGTGTAGATATTATTATATGGAGTAAATCAAGGATTACACTAAAATGGGGGGGATTTGTTGGTGATTTTAGTATCATCAATGTATTTTAGTAGTAATGTGATTTACTGTAGGTCGACGCAATTATATGTTAAGCTTGGAAACAAGTTAGGGTAGTGCAGAGTGCACGCTCATCATGTCAACGTACAATTGAATGCGAATAATTGAAAAGGGGTTCCAAGGGGCGGAGCCCCTGGCGGGGTGCGGGGCAGCGCCCCTGGGGTTTCCTAAAAGTTTTCTGTTAAGTTTTGAACCCGTTCGAAATTAATTTTGAAAAGATGAACCCGTTCAAAAATTTTGAACAGATGTCCCTTTTCGTTTTCTGTTAATTAATCTCTTATATAATGAGTCATTTGGCCTCAGTTTTACACACTGAACAAAACTCATATTCTCTCTACATTCTTGATCTGTTTTCTATTGCCAGAAACAGATTGTTCTTCAAAGAATTATCCCCACAAAGATTTCGTGAACTCAGGCAAATAATAGGGTCGAAATATTTTGTTCGGAAAGTGTACGAACACGATTCCTCGAAGATATCCAAGATTATCACATCGAAATTTCCAACAGTTCGCAAGACTTTTTATTATTGTTGAAAAGTTGCAGTTTTGTGAGAGTGAGGAGAGAGTTGGTACAAAGGTTTTGAATGAGATGTTTGTATGTGAGAAGGAGGTTGTTGTGTATGAAGCTGCATGGAGGTGGTGTTTCGGTTGAAAAACATAGGCTGTTGTTTCACGATTGTTAGTGAGAGCTTAAAACTAAGGAGTTGTTATGTTATGGTATCGTTACACGGGTTCGAGGTGGAAAGTTTTGGCCGTGTAGCTTGGCTGATGGAAAGGTGTCAGCGTGTTACGAGGAACATGAACGAGGCTCGTCGGGTGATGATATGCAGCTGATCGAGTTGTACGTGAGGGAGGAGTATTGGTTTGTGGTATTTTGTGAGAAAATGAAGAAGAAATAGGAGATATGTGTCGTGTGTGAGTCTGTATGGAAAAAGGAGACATCATGCGTAAGATATTTTGTTTATGAGAGTGAGTTCGTTCGTTTTTTTTCCTGTGGTAATGGTGTCGCATGTTACATAGCATGGGAGAAGGACTTTGTGGTGGTGGGTTTTGTGAGATGGTTAGGATGGTTTTTGCTTGTTAATGTCTATGGAGTAAGTAAGGAAGAGAATTTAATGGTGTGCAAAACAAATGGCAATGGAGGGTAGTGAGAGATATGAAGAGTATCATGAGATGTTATCTTGTTATTAAGTTAGATCCATTAAATGGTTATTGTTTTGCTTCTTTTCTAAATGCAGCGCGTGGAGAGAAAGTAGTGGGATCAAGAAGAAAATGTGATATGGTGAAAGCAGGCAAATGGGTTCGCGCGTGCTATGGTTACTACAATTAGAGGAAAAAAACAAAACCTCTTTTTTAAACTTTAGCAATTAAGTTTTACAAAAAAAAAATAAAAACAAATTTTTTATATTATTTATTTTAAAAAGAAAAACAAGATAAATGAAAAAATAAACTAAATTACTCAAAATAAAACCTAAATTGAAAATCTGATTAAACTATTCAAATTAAATTAAAAACTAAAAAAATAAATTCGATTTAAAACGAAAATCGGACGGGTATAAAAGTGCTTAAAAAAATAAAATGAGTACATTAAAATAATTAGCGCGAAATAAACGACTCGGAAAAATACAGCGTTTGGCCAGATTTCGAAATAATTTTTCCTCGGTTAATGGCTTAAACCGATTAAAAAGTGACCGAAAAGCAGTCGAAAATTTTAAACGAGCATGCGAGGTTAAACTACGTGAAACAATTATTAAAACAATTAACGTTTGCAAGCTCGATTTCGAAACTTTTCGTCCATTGATTTTACGCACAATTGACTTTCAGTTTGACTGATTCGGCTGTAAATTCAACAAGTTTATTCCAATTGATAATTTGATAATTTGGGCATTATGTGTGATGAAAGACATAATAGACTATGCTGATGATGCAAAAAGAGGTGGGATGTTAAGGATACAAATTAGGGTATGACAGCAGCGACTGTAGTTCCTTCTTTGTTGGTGGTGTTTTCGCCTCCAAAATGGCCTTCGTCTTATTCTGATTTATTTCAACTCCCTTCTTATGAACCAAAAAACCTAAGAAATCTCTAGCCTACACACATAATGTACATTTAAGTGGATTCATCTTCATACCATGCTTCCTCATTCTTTCGAATGACTGTCGAAGATGGTCTATATGATTCGCCCCTGATACAGACCTAACAATTATATCGTCAATATAAATCTGCATAAATGTTTCTATAAAATCATGGAAAATGGAATTCATTTCTATTTGGTAGCTTGCCCCAACATTTTTTAAGCCGAAAGACATCACCACCCATTCGTAGGTGCCTAAGGTCCTAGGACATAAAAATGTCATTTTTAGCACGTCTTTGTCAACAATGAATATCTGATTATATCCAGAATATCTGTTGAGTATACTAAGATACTCATAGCCTGCAGCGGAGTCGACAAGCATCTCTCCCACAGGCATTGGATACTCTTCCTTTGGGGGTCGTAGCGTTTAGATCCCTGAAGTCAATGCAAACCCACAAAGTTTCATTCTTTTTAATAACAAAGACTATGTTAAAAATCCACTCGACATACCTAGTTGTATGGATGTACTTACATTTGAGAAGTCTTTCGACTTCTTGCTTGATCTTCGACAAGATTTCCTATGCGAATCGTCTAGGAGTTTGCTTGATCGGCTTCCTCCCAGATTTGATGGGAAACTTCAATTCGACCAACTCCCTATTCAATCCAAACATCTCGTCATAATCTCAAGCAAAGAAGTCCTTGTAATCCTTCAAAATCTAGATCACTTCGACTTTGAATTTAAAGCCAAGGTTGGCGCTTATGTACATCGGTCTTTTCACTGTACTTTCTACTAAGTTAATTTCTTCTAAAGGATCTTGCGCTAGTATTTTTATATTGGGTGTCGGTGGGTCCCTTTCGAATGTCAAAGGCTTTTCATCATAGATGGCGTCGAGCCTCTGCCTTTGCACTTCGCGTTGATCCTTATCAGGCGGCTCTGGTTCTAAGTATATTCCAGACCCCTCAAGGTGCACCTCAGCTTCTTTGACTTTGACAAGCATGTATCTAACTTTGGCCTCTAAGGCCGCTTTTAATCTGGTTTCGGCTATATAAGATGAAATCTTACTCAGAATATATCTTTGAATTCTATGACTTATTTTCAACATTTATGTGTGTCTTATCTCGGCCAACACTATATCTATCAAAACTTATATGTTCACTTTAAATTAAAATGTCAACTGGTTTTTCGAAAAAAATCATAAATTTAATATTTAAAACCTAGGCCAAAACGCAGTTTCATCATCAAACAATGATTCCTATGATCAAAATGGTTTCATTCCAATAAGGAGGCAATGAAGAAAATATGAATTATTTGTACTAGTAACATTAAAGATTCTGAGATTCTTTTACATTGTATTGTATGCAATTGTTTCTTAATCTATTCCTTTGATGTCAAAACCAATACTCCCAATGCCCCCACGAGTATATACTGCAAAGAAACAAAAGGCAAGTTAACATTCAAATTTGAGAACCAAAGAGAAAAAAGTAAGCAGTGAGAAAAGCAAAAGGATAGTGTTGTAGAGAAAAGAAAATAAGTTCACGTCTTCACCAACATAAGTTGAACCTTTTGTTATTTCTTTGTTTCATTTTAGAAAAAAGGGAAATAAATTTAGTTTTTTTTTTCCAGGTAAAATAAACTACCAAAAGAACCAACCTTGACAATGGGTTTTTCAGACATAATTATTGTAGCCCAACCAGCATAAGGTAAAAACCTGCAGAAAGATGAATGTAGGTGATAACATATTAGACAATATAAGATAAATTGTTCGGTAATTCTGTAGCATATAGCAAAAGGAAATGCATTATGTGATGAACATAGATGATAGTTATGCATAGAGATAGAGGAGTACAAAATGTGAGTTTTAACATTATTAAAAGATGCTTTCATGATCAACCTCTATATAGAGGGAGAACATACAGAACATTGATCAATCTCTAGGTACTCAACCCTTCCTTACTTCATTTTCAACACCCAGGACAAGATCCTCTAAATTTCCCTTTGCTATATCAATAACCTATAATCTCTCTTCTTTAACAGAATCCCTGCCTAATTAACTATAGAACCAACGAGGGCTACGATTCAAAAGTTATTGTCTTTGTGTACTCAAAGCCAAGTGCTAATGCCCAGCATGAAGACATCTACATGATGGTATTATCCCCTAACCAAAAAGAAATCGACTTACCCGGCAGCTTTGCCCATAATATGCTTTTTCTCCAACCAATTCTGGCCATGATTGTACAAAACCCTGTCATCCATCTCATTATTGTCTCCTGAAATAAACAACCATATAAATATATGAGTATGGTTCCTCCTTGGATGTTAAGGAGTTGGCAAAAAAATTTGCAGAAACTTTGGTTATACCTTTAGTAAGGTAATAAGTCTCTTGTGTATCTTGACGCTGATGGACCTAAAATAAAAAACACCCCCAAATTAAGTGATATCACTAAGTAGTTTAAAGAGAAAATAGTTGCGATGCGATTCATTACAAACCTTAATTACTCGGTGAACAATTGGAATATCACGTCCCTGTACAATGATCAGACATTTTTAAGAACATGGATGAAACAAAATGATAAGCAAGGATGAAGAGATATTATGAAAAAGGAGATACATCTATATTGAAAACCACAATGTCTCCAGCACGAATAGGATCATTATTCATGTGCAAGAACAGAATGTCACCCTGTAAAAGAAAATGAACCAAAAAGTTTTAGATTATTGAAATCTGAAATATAATAATTTTTGAAAAAAATAATGTGTTAGTTACTCTTTGAAAACCAGGTTCCATGCTTCCGGAAAGAACAACAACAACGGGGGATTCAGTTCCAGTGATACACATTAACCCTTTCCATATAACTAGCGCCGATGTTACCACCAACCCTGAAATATGAGATTAATGAGCGATGATGAATGAGAATAATAATATTTAATAATGAAATGAAGAAGAGATTACATACCGAGAGTGATGACTTGGGTCAAAGCTTCTCTGAATTTGATGGACTTCACAGACTGAACTGTCTCTGAAACCCAACCCATGGAGGATACGATACTTGTGCAATTCAAATCAAACGATATTGGAAAATAGGAAAAACTAATGTTATCAAGCTTTCAAAATTTTGCAATTTCGCAGTATATTTATCGCTGTTTTCGGGTTATGGTCTTTTGGGATATTAAGACCGCATTCTTCATCTTTTTCAAACATAAAAATATACACGTGGAGCTTCCAATCGTTGTGCGACACGTGTACATTTTCTTCGCGAACGGTGCAATAAAAAACAAACAAGAAAAGGTAAGCTAAAAAAGTATTATTTAATTTTGGATTTACTCTTCAGTTTTAATTTTTTTTTTGTAATAATTAATAAATTGTACGCTGAATGTAGCATTTGCTTTTTTTTTTTCTTTCTAATAAGACAAATTCAAATAATAATTATTGATATCTATTACTTTTGACCGAATGTTGTGAGTGATTATCCCAACCGTAAATTCTGGAAAAAAAAATTGAAATGTTTTGACAAAATCAGAAAAAGTTTACACAGTTAGTTAGTTATAGACATTAAATATAAAAAAAATTGATTTTTATTTTAATAACTTGTAAAATAAAATAAAAAGATGACGGTGATGAATGGATAATGTAAAATTTTTTACATTATTATATCAGTTAGTTAAAAATTTAATAGAAATTTTATTCACTCAATAAAAATATATCATTTTATTATATCATATTAATAATTTAAAATTTTCAGTCTAATTTAACCGAATATATAATCGTCATTAATTGACGGTATAAAATTATGTTATACTATCCCTTTTCTCTATTATCAATCTTATTTTTTAAAAGAATAACATATTTTAATTTTTTTTTCAATTATTTTTTAAAATATAAAATTTATATTAAAGTTGAAATTCGCCTAAATATGTGTTAAATATATAATCATTGTTTTAGAAAGATTATATTTGATTTAGAAAGATTAAATTTGATTTAAAAAAATTAAATTATATATTTTTGCGCTTTTAGAATTTGGGCTTTAGCTTGAGAGGCAAGTTAACTTAAATCTTTAAATAGAGAGGAACATTTATCATTGTAATAATCAAGTTTGATAATTACGATTTTACAGTTATAAAATGATAATAAAATTTCACAGTTGTGGGCAGAGAGTTACTCTGTCGTTCAAATTCATCTTTTTTAAACTTGCTCTTGTTTTTATTCATTGTCGTTACATAAATATATGTATGAAGGAAAATAAAATATTTTAGATTATCATATTTAATTTTTTAGAATTATAACACTTATATATTTAATTCATCTTTTTGTCCTTTCATTTATTTTATTATTTTGCTTTGATCCTATAATTAAAAACCGTTATAATGTATTTTAAAATTGTGATGTTAGCCTAAGCACTCATTCCGTTAAATTTTTTATAAAAAAAAACGTTAACTTGCCTACGAGGCACTATTAGTGTCTTTTTAAAATCTAACATAAATTTTTGTTTGGTATTTTTTAATTTTATTAATTTATTTATTTTTATTTTTAATATATTTCGTATTTTTTACACTTGTTTTCATTTATATTCATTATTTGAAACAAATCCTAATGATTCTCTAATGAAACTTGTAGTCGTCGTCTTCTTTCTATTTCTGCTTCTTTCTTCTCTTTCTCCTTTTTTCTTCTTCTATCCTCAACATAGTACAACAGATCCACAATTATTTTTATTTTTGATTTTTAGAAAAAGAGAACTATTTGGTGTGGAGGTAGTAAAACTTGGAGGGAGTTTGAAACTTGGTGTGATGGTTGTGATTTGATACCCTGTATGTTGAGTTTAAAGAAACAGAGTAGAAATCTTAGAAGCAGTTTGAGCATTTGGAAAAGAAAATTTTCGAAGCACAAGAGTTGAAGAAAAATATTAGTATCATGACAACATATGAGTACTTTGCCAAGCATCCCAAGCCGAAGAAGAAATTTGATTAATAAATAATATCTACATTGATTTGTTTGTAACTTAGTTCTGTTTAAAAGGTTCTTCACATTTCCATTTTCAAAGTTGTCAAAATTTCATGGAGTTGTTATTGTAGTTTACACCCACTTTCTGTAAAATGTTATGGTTATGTTAATAAATTGTTTAGTGTGTAAAAAAAGAAAGAGAAATGCTAACGAGTGCCCCTGAGGCACTAGTTAAGAGATTAAAATGGTAAGTTAAGCATTATTTAAAAGATTAAAAAGTCATGTTTTTTCTAAATATACGTGTATTCAATGCACTGAAGAGAGAAATAATCAACTTTTTAAAAAAATATTGTGTGTATTGAATAAAGGGAACATAACATATATTCCTTATTTGGAATTTTTAACAAGTGCCAAAGAAATTCGTAAAAAAGTAATTATGGGTTGGTATGTCCGAAAATTCTTCCAACCTCTTTGTTATGTAGCGATTTTTCCTTGATCCTACTGGTATTTTGAGTATTGGTATGTCCGAAAATTGAGAAGAACTCCAACTTTGTCTATAGGCTTCCACACACCACTACCAAAGCGAATCTATAGAGAAGAACCTCTTTGTTTTCCATTGGACTTATCAAAACATGCCACAACACCACATAACTTGCAAACCTCTTAAATCTTAAGAAATTCTTCAAAGAAGCGTTAAACACCGTGATTGAGTCTCCTTAACAATCACATATCTCCAAAGATGATATTTAGATCAACATAAAAATAAAATTTGAATGAGGTAGAAGATGATATAAATTGTTTGAAAGCGCTCAAGAAATATTGAAAACCCTTTTGAAAAATGAGATAATAAGTGATTTGTGAGTTTTCAAATCAATATTAAAAGTGTATGTTTTCTAAAATTGTGAAAGGTTTTGAGAGAAAATTTTATTTATATGGGATGGACTTCTAGCATAAAAATGAGTAAAAAATGGTGTATGGTTCGAGAAGTAAAATCTATATGAACCCCATTTATGTGATCGAGCCACTGAAATTGTGATTCGAGTCACATGATTTAAGTCACGTGATTCGAGTAAAAAATGGTGATTCGAATAAGAGTTCAAGAAACAAACTAGAAAGTTTTCAATCCAGTGTTATTCAATTAAAATGTTATTTTGATTTGAATCAAGGTGTTGTGATTCGAACCATGAATTATATGATTTGAATCATGAAAATAGGAAAATGATTATTGAGTTCCTTGTGAGTCTTATTCGAGTCGGACAAATAGTGTGATTGGAATCACACTGACAAAATCTGTATTTTATAAAATTTTAAAGGATTTTTTATATTTTATTATAGTCATGACTTTAACCATTCTCAAACATAGTTATGGATCCAAAAAATCAGTACGTTAGCTTAAACCATATTGCTTAAACTATAATCAAACACTTCAATTTATGCGTGCTAAAAACGGATCTAAAAGTCACTCCAAAAATGCACAATCAATGATGAAACTCAATGAATAAATAAACAAAATCAAAGGCTTGATAGAAAAACAATAAAAACATTCAACCTATAGGCAGAGACATGCAACATGTAACTTTAGTCTCCCCCTTTTTGATGCTTGGCAAACTTTCAATTGGAATTGAGTTAACTTTGAGCAGAAGCAAAGGATGATCAATATTTTCATCATAAACCCTATACCTATTCACCGGGGTCTTATAGTGAGCAACCTGAGCCCTGTTATCTTCATCATAAACCCTACACCTATTTACCAACTCAAGAAAGTGTCTGATTTTCTGATAATCGATACCTTGTTTAATCTCAGGACGCAACCCATTCTCAAACTTAATACATTTTGAACTCATAGCAGCAACAATATTCTAATGAGGATAATACTTTACCAGTTCCTCGAACCTGGCAGCATATTCTGCGACTGTCGAGTATCCCTGCTTCAATTCTAGGAATTCGATCTCCTTTTTACCATAAACATCTTCCATCTACTATAACACTTGGCTGGACAAATCGACTGCTCTGATACTAATTGTAACACCTCATACTACTTTTGGAATTACCGACTGACCCCACAAACCAACACGGGTCTTTTCAACATGCTTTGTCCTCACTCACACGCTTTCCAAGAAACTTCCCAGAAAGTCACCCATCCATAAACTGTGGAGTTCTAGTGGAACGGGCTATCAAAAAGAAGATGCATCTTGTTGGTATAGGTAGTACCCATCAATCCTTATAAGCTTTCCTTTAACCATGCAATCTCATACATGCTTAACTTCAGAATCCCTCTCATTCCGATGTGAATTCAGTTTTTCCCTAAAAGCTGCTAGAAGTGTCTCAGTGTCCTGCCTAATACACTGACAACCACTACCTCGCCAAGCTGCTAGGAGTGTCTCATTGTCATGCCTCGTGCACCAACAACCACTCCATCGGCCTCAAGTGTTACATGTAACCTCTTTCCGCCCTCTTCGGCTTCGGGTTTACATGCTTGTAACACTCCATTTAAATATTAAGTTATTTTGTGATTTTATTTGTCAAATTATATTAGTATTGGCATAGTTAAGGGCATGTGTATAAGGGTGAGTGTAAGACTTAGTTGTAATTAGTTAACTGGAACGAAACCTTAGAATAATATTATAATAATAATATATTTAGTGTTGGATAAAATATTTCATTGTTATTATGAATATTATTAATAGTTATATGTGGTATTTACCACTAGTAATATTAGTGTTAATATTATTATTATTAAAATTAAAAAAAAAGTATATATATATATATATATATATATATATATATATATATATATATATATATATATATATATATATATATATATATATATATATATATATATATATATATATATATATATATATATATATATATATATATATATATATATATATATATATATATATATATATATATATATATATAATAGGGAGAAGTGGTAAAAAGGTCTGAGAGACAATTTTTACTTAAAAAGAGAAAGGAGAGAAGAAGGAAGAGCTAGGGCAAGAAGAAACCAAGAATTCTCCACCATGGTTAGAAAGATCAAGCTTGGAATTAAGGTAAGGAGGGAGAATGAGTTCTATAATGGTGATTAGAACATGAGAGGGTAATGAAGGTTCCTTTCCCTCTAAGGATTTTATGTATATTCTTCTTCTTGTCTGTTAGATTCCGTATTTGTGTGATTGTTATTGAATTTGTATTTGTGTAATGATATTGATGTGAAATTATTGGAAATTGTGAATTGTTGTTGTGTTTTACCATAGAAACAGATTTGAGAATTATGGGTTTTTGGGAGATGACGAAATTATAGTTTAATTTGTGATAAACCTTAATATAATGATATGTTAATTAAGTAGAGTAAATTCCTTAAGATATACTAGTATATGTACTGTTTTGGCTCAAAATTAGGAGTTTGAAGGTGCTCTAATGGGTGAAAAATTGCACTGATGTGAAAACAAAATTTTTGTTGTTGCAGACTGCTCATACACTTATGCAGTGAGGCAATACACGTACGAGGGGACATCCCAGGGGCATACGCATACGATACGCACCCTGTCCCCATGGACAGCCCGCTCGTCTGTTGGTACATGTAAGGGAGAGCCCAATACGCGTAAGTGAAGATGTCATTATGTGTATGGGGACTTCTGGGAAGAGTTTTTAAGGAAAATCCCTTTTTGGTCGTACGCGTAAGGCAAGGGCATTACGCGTATGATGCCTGGGCATTTGGGGCCCTACGCGTAGCATACGCAGGGATTAGGGAGAGGGAGAAAGGCAATACGCCTATAGAGCAGGGCCATACACATATGAACAGGCTTGTGTGGTGACTTTTTCAGTTTTCGCAATTTCTTTCCTGATTTTGCATGCAATGTAATTCCTCTTGATTCGTAAGGCTAATTGGACATAAGTAGACATAGGAAGACCACTAATGATAGGAAATGGGGGTAAAACATGGAATATGTGTGTGGATTTCTATGTGATGTGTGATTTGATGCATATGTTGATGAGATTGTTGTCATGTGGACAATCTTGGGCAAAAAGGGTAATTCCAGAGGGAATTACGGTGAGTATGTGACTCACGTGTGATCATTGTGGATCTTGTGTTATACACTAATGGTATTTTTATTATGCATAGTTGTATGTCATGCATTTTCATATTGTGTCATGTGGAGATGGGTCTAGGTGGGAATCCATGATAGGTGTTTAGTCTCATCCATATTCTGTGTGGGAGTCAAGTTGGAGATAAGTTGTAGTTCAGAGGAACGTATACGACTTATCCAGATTTCAATGGGAATCGGGTTCAAAGAATGAAACTTATAGATTGTATTGGTATCGCATGCATGATGTGGTGTCAGTTGAGTCACATTGCATAAATGAATGATTGAATATGGATTGAGCATGATGAATATTGTTGTGTCACATGTACGTGCATTATAATTGTTTGATTGGTGTGAATTGTGTGATTACTAGGGATGTTCAAATCCAAACCAATCCAAATAAAAATTGCAAACCGATCCAAAAAAACTGAAAACCGCAAAAAACTGAAAACTATTGGATGTGTTTGAATGTCATTTTATAAAAACCGATCGGTTTGGATCGGATTTCGGATTGATTTTTCAAAACCGATCCAAACCAAACCGAACCGCATGTATATATTTTTATACTTATTTATTTTTTATTAGTATAATACGTTGTGTTAATTTATTATTAGATGATATTTTTTTTATAAAATACTATTTATTAGTTTGATTTAATCTATTAATTTTTATTATTTCATTTGTTTCAATCATAACTGATCACTATCATTTTGTAATATTGATTTTTAATAAAATATATGTTAAATATTATATCAAATTTATCATTTATTAGTGTTTTTACAATGTTAATAAAATTATAATTTGTAATTTGAATATCCAAAAAACCGATCCAAATCAAACAGCAAGAAATTGGATTGGATCGGATCGGATTTTTTAAAACCAATTATCCAAAACCGAACTAAACCGCAAGTAAATTTATCTTTGGATCGGATGACATTTTACTTCAAAAACGATCCAAACCAAATCGCGAACACCCTTAGTGATTACTACTCCTTAGCATGTGATTTTCACAGTATAATTATTGAATGTAATTCTCACTCCTTTTATGTTGTTGTGTTTGTGCTCCTTGGGGAGTACAGATAATCAGGTACCTGAGTAGTGCGTGGAGTGTGTATTACTATTGACCGAGTCTTAGGAGTCGCTCTGATACGTAACACGGGAAATATGGGAATTCGTTATAATTTGTGTTGTTTTTCATTTGTTACGTATCTTGTTTTCCAAATTATGTTGAACCACAATTTTTGTGGAGGTTAGTGTTAGTTAAAGCCTTAGTGCTGTTGAAGTGAACAACTTAAATATCCCGCTATTTAATTTATTTTTTTATGAGGAATAAATATATGAAGTGACTTGATACTTAATAGGTTTTAAGGGATGTGGCATCCTATTTGTGTATTTCTGATTATTCCGCAAACTATTTTTATAATTGAATGAATGAGGATAGTAGAGTGTTACAATTAGTATCAGAGTCAGACCCCTCTCAGTACGATGTGATTAGGGGACGAACCAAACAGAAGCTGGTGGGCATGTAAGACCCGAGGTTGAAGAGGCCAGAGAGTGGTTACATGTAACACCTGAGAGAAAGGGAGTGGTTGTCGGTGCATGAGGCATGACAATGAGACACTCCTAGCAGCTTGGCAAGGGAGTGGTTGTCAGTGCATGAGAAATGACAATGAGACACTCCTAGCAGCTTCTAGGGAAAAATCGAATTCACATCGAAATGAGAGGGATCTTGAGGTTGTGCAAGTATGAGACTGCATGGTTAAAGGAAGGCTTATAAGGATTGATGAGTACTACATATACCAATAAGATGCATCTTCTTTTCGGTAGCCCGTTCCACTAGAACTCCACAGTTAAACGTGCTTGACTTTGAGCAGTTTATGGATGGGTGACCTTCTGGGAAGTTTCTCGAAAAGCGTACGAGTGAGGATAAAGCGTGCTGAAAAGACCCGTGTTGGTTTGTGGGGGTCATTTGATAATCTTGAAAGCAGTCTGGGGTGTTACATAAGACATCCCATTATCAGTCCCTACTATTCCATCTGAGGGTATTGATAGATGGTTTTGTGGTAACATAATGAGTTTTGCACGTGCCATTTGAGATCGTGTAATGAAGGTTAAATTCCCTACGAAGTGTGTGGATGGGTACTTGGAGTGGTACCTTATGATATCACACCATTGCATCATCCCACCTGAGCAACATGGAGATGATGTCAAACCTTTTCATGGATAACCTCATGGATTTGGTGAACTCAGATGGAAAGATTTATAGTTTGACAGCGCAAGTATCACACATAGCCTGTAGGAGACCTATTTTGACATTTTTATTATTTTTATGTAATATTTGTATATTATGTGTAATATTACTCAAACATTTGCACAATTGTTTATTAGATAATATTTTGGCACTTCCATTGATGCATGATGAACATAATTTAACATTTGACAAACAATTACATAACTTAGACAAACAATTATATAAGTTAAGAAAACAATAATATATAAGAAAACCTAAACACTACCAGATGATTCTTAATGTTTCAACATCTTGATTATGTCGTCGACACGTCTAGAAATTGTCGCATCAAACTCGGTTGGTCCCTTAGTTAACCTACAATGATATGATCTCCACATAACTTTCAAATCTTCATCGGTCTTCAACTCAATAAAGTTGTATTTCAGTTTTCCAGCAGTATCAATTTAATTTTCACGAAACTCGATGTTTCTCACCTTTTTGTTATCGGTGTTAGGCAACAAATCATTCAACGTGGATTTCAAGACGGCGAGATAAACAATGTCCTTCAGAGGCTGAAACTCTATGAGAGGTTTTGCCCCCTTGAAGTGCACTTCTACCTTAATAACAAATTGAGGAAGATACATTCTTAGATGTTTTTCTCAACAACAGATGACCCTTATTTATACAACTTTGAATTTATTTTGAACTATACAAAACGATCGGAACAATCACAACCGTACAAAAGTGGCGGCAAAATCTCAACCATTCAATTTTCACCCTTTTTAAAACTACTGGATTTTTTACTCATGGACGAAATATCCAATAACTTCCAAATGTTTAAAGAAAAAAGTACTAATCAAAATCCTAGATATTTAAAAAAATCCGATTAACCGCATTTTTCATATATTTTATCTTTTTTTTTTTCTAGGTTCCAGATATTTTAATCTGTTCTACCAGATATTTTGTTTGAATTTTTAACTTCAAATTCACAAACACTAACATAAATATTATTAAAATATGGGGTGTCTAGTAAAATTTGGGGTGGCAACAAGAAACCACCTCTAACCCAAAATACTTGGAAGCCCGACATTTCTAGCTATTCATAAACCCTGTTTTGGGTACAAATTTTATTTTCTCCTCTTCCTGACGAAAAACCCTAGCCCCATTTCTTCTTCCTCCCCATCGATCCACAGAAAACAACAGAGCACATAAAATGGTACCTTATTTTATTCTCTCTCTCGTTCATTTTCTCTGTCATTATTTTGATTCGTTTAATTTGTTTTGCAGACTGGAGAAACAGTGAATCCAAAAGCATACCCTCTGGCTGATGCACAGCTTACAATAACAATAATGGATCTTGTTCAACAAGCTGCTAATTACAAACAGCTCAAAAAGGGTGCCAATGAAGGTTGGTTCTTCTAGAATGTGTTGGTTATGTTATGGTTCTGTGTTTATTAATTATTCTATTTTGTTTTCAGCTACAAAGACACTTAACAGAGGCATTTCTGAGTTTGTTGTCATGGCGGCAGATGCTGAACCGCTTGAGATTCTTCTTCATCTTCCTCTACTTGCCGAGGATAAGGTGAATCTCACTTGCCTTTCTTTTAACAATTTATGACCTTTCTTTTAACAATTTATGCTTTGAATGTGAATGCCATTATGTTCTTATTTCCATTGTTACTGTTTTTCTAATTGGATGGATATACATTTTAATACGGTTTACACACTGATTGGAGTTTCTGTATTTGTTATTTGCAATGATATAATCATAATATACACTATAAGCATGTACATCCTGCTGTAATCATGTAATGCCTATCCACTTTGAAGTCTGGTAGGGATGAATTGATGGATATCAATGAAGCCCGGACTCGGAGACGAGGAGTCTGCAAATGTAAAAAACATAGGACGCGGACATGACTCTACATATTTTATATATTAACATAATAATGTGATTTATGACTACAATTTATAAAAAGAGTTTAAAATGAGAATAAAAATTTATGTTTATTTTAACTTATTATTTTCAATCAAAAAACATAGATCCATCAAAACAAAATGATACAAATCATATCATACTATTATAGTCACTCCACATTGAAAAAACTAGCCTCTAAACCAGACTCATCAAAAGACAAGTTAGTATCTTCAAGAAATCCACTGTCATCTAATGTATGTATAGTGCGGCGGTGAAGATTAAAATCCAAAAACATCTTGGAAAATAAAATAAAAATTTACAATAGAAGATGGAGAGATGAAAAAACTTTGTGAAGACCAAAGCATCGGTGTGCGGCAAAGATGAAAAAATTCTGAGAACATAAAAAAAACCTTGTAGAGGCAGAAGACTGGAATATGAAAAAAATACGGAATTGTTGAAGTGGAATATGAAACGTAAAAAACCTTTTTTTTTTTTTTTTTTAAATTTTCAAAATTTTTGTGGTTGGTTTTTTATTTTATTTTAAAATTCAGATATTTTTTGAGTTGGGTCATGTCCTTCCTTTATTTGAAATAAGGTGTCAATGTTCAATTTTTTTTTTAATTGGACACTTCAAAACATGTAAGGTACTTGTCGTACGCGTATCCGTATCGGTCACGTGTCCCCGGTGACACTCCGTGTGAATGGCGTATCGGAGCTTCATAGATGGATATTGTTTTATTAGTAACTGTTGTATGTGTGATGGATATTTTTAAAGGAAGTTCTTACCCTACTAGTTTGCGATTAGTTTGTCTTTTTCTGTCTCGAGCTTAGGTTGTATTTTAACAAGAACAAGCTGAAAAGTAAATCTTCTTGCCAATAGTCATGTACAGAGCAAAAAGTTACAAATATTTTACGAGGCCCTATTTAGTTATATAGATTAAATCCTCAAGTTTGAGGCCTGTGCATTACCCCGCGTTGCACGCCCTCAATAAAACAAACTGTCATGTAGCCTAGTGAATACATCATCATCTGGTTTGATCCTTAATGTGTAAATAATAAATTTCCAAACCTGTCTTCCAATTTTGGCTAGGGTTACTCTTCTAAGTTGGGATACCTAGATACCTGAGATAATCTTATGTCTAAACAGATGTGGATGTTAGTTTCATCTTGAGAACTGACCTATCAATGTCAAATTCATATTGTCCTGTTTTATTTTATATTCACTACTTAATCTGTTAGCTTTTTCTATTCATTCATGTTATTGGGATTTTAATATTTAACGATAAAGTAGCGAATTAACCATGAATTTATTTCAATTTTAGAATGTTCCGTATGTATTTGTGACATCAAAACAAGCACTAGGACGAGCATGCGGTGTTACCCGGCCAGTGATTGCATGTTCTGTGACAACAAATGAGGGAAGTCAATTGAAATCTCAAATACAACAACTAAAGGTATTCATTCACTCACCATGCAGTCCATGCTTTTGTTTAATACAAACTATATTAGTTGTTATCATGTTGATTGAATTAAACACAAAATTTGAACATTTATTTGACATGCAGGATGCTATTGAAAAGCTATTAATATGAGAAATTGATTTCGGTATGATGGGCTTCTCCTTGAGGCTTTGACTGGACGAGTTGTGTTTAACTCGGAAAGGTGCTTTATATTGTAAGCCTACATTAATATTTATGGATTAAAAGTGAATTCTTAAAACTTTGCTTTTGTACTCTTTAAAACTATTTTTCTGTTCAATTTCAATTGTATCCTTATGTTGACTGGTCACTCTTGATACGGCACCGACTTTGATTGATAATATTCAAAAAGCAATGAATACGTTTACCTTAAGTAATTCAGATATTTTTTATGAAAATCATGCAACATTTCTTCTAAATGAAGTCTTTGCACTGTTACTAATAAATCCTCTTGTAACATGGTGGTTAGTGGGGCACATTAAAATATAATTCCACAGTGAAGACACTGCATCAAGCACGTTCAATCAAAAGTGTGTTAGAAACGTGAGAGGAAATGAATCAATTTTAATAGGTGATCATTAATCTCGTGAGCTATATTTTACTACCAAAAGAAACAAGCAAAGCAAAACTCATGTGCAAAAATAAAATAAAAAGCAGATGACTATTAGGCTTTTAAACATGATCTCTTCATGTATATCATGTGGAAGGCTTACGATGTTTCTTACTTCTCAAAAGTTAAAAAGTTTCAATTTGAAAAGGTAAACTCATTATACCAAAATGAGAAAGGTAATGAGATTGAAAAGTTAAGAAGTGATCATATCAAGCTTTAAAATTGTACATTCCACTGTAATTGATAAATGTCGTGTTACAATAGTTGATAAATGTGATTGATCAAACTTAATTCAATTATGATTTAGGGATAGTGATTATTTACGTTACTAATCTCCCAAAAATGACTTAAGTAGGCCAATTTGTGAACTTTCAAACTTTTGAACCAACACTTGGATATAGGCACCGTCCTGCTCCAGTCTCTAGTGTAATCATTTTTTTTATTCATAAAAATAGTATGTTTCCTCATTAAAAATAATAAAAAGTAAATAATCTCATCAATACAAAAGTGAAAATAAAAATATATCGAGAATACTAATGTCACAGTTATCTGTTTCAACTTTAAGTTATTAAAGTTAAATAAAAAAATATAAATTAGTAGAGATTATTAGTGTAAATATAAATTAGTAGAGATTATTAGTGTAACCATTACCTAACCGTTCAAATCTAAACTTGGAAAACAAATTCAGTTTTCATTATCAAATTCAAGCAGATTCGGATCATTTAAATTTGCGTTTTTGTGTGTAGTACCATATCTCAATTGAACGTTGCCATAGTTTTTAAAACTACAATAAGTCGAACTTAAAAGAACACTGTATGTGAAGTTAACAACCATAAATTCTGCTCATCATCCATAACATTGTTTGAACATGTGTTTGGCAAATATCCATTAAGTCTAATTCATTCTCTAGTCACAAACTCAATAAAGTTAAAAAGTAACATATCACCAGATATTAAAGATAAAAATACATAAAATGTAAATAAGAACAGTAATTTCTGTATCCAAAAATCATCTCAATTCTCATTCTTCTTTGAATTTTCTTCATCTTGTTTCCCATCTTTCTCTTCCAACAATTTCCCAGCTTCAGTGTCATCTTCCTGCTGAACCCTTTTCTGAGCCTCAGAAGCCTTAAGAGCCATCAACTTACAGTGATTATAATAAGCAACACCCAAAAAAGCAAGTCCATAACCAATCAAGTTAAGGGGTGTAACAGTATCCTTAATCACAGACCAAGAAAACGCAATAAGCAACCAATCCTTCACCACACCAGCAACATTCATAGTCAAAGCTGAAGTTTTTCCCACAAGCAAAAACACAGCAAGATTCAAAGCAAAAGCACACAAAGAATTACTACCAAAAACCCATAAATCTAATTCCAAACTCGCCTTACCCCTCAATAAAGGATACTCCATGATAAACCAAGGAAGTGACAAAAAAACCAAACAACAAGGAGCAATGTAGTAAAGCGATGTAATAGGATTCAATTTTATCCCTTTTGAGTTCAAAAGAATCTGAATTAAAACCAATCGCGTGGCTTCAAACGCTACAGCCATGAGCTGTAGCGTAACGCCAAAGACATCAAACTTGGCTTCGCCGTAGGCAGCTATGGCTACGCCAAGTGAAATAGACACCATGTTCATCATGGTGTCTTTTTTGAAGGACTCTTTTTTGAACGAAACGCCGATGGAGTAAACCGCGACGGGCATAAGTGCTTTAAGCATTTGAATGAATGAAACCGAAAGGTAAATATAAGCGGAGTTTGAGAACCAAAGGGAGAGAGAATAGAGTGCACCAATAGGGACAACTGATTTAAGGTAAATGTCGAAAGACATTGAAATTGGTTCGACAAGTTTGAGGATTTTGACGAGGATGTAAGCAAGGGAGGAACAAAAAGCCATGTGAATCATTGTTAGAGATATTGGGAATGGCCAGTTGTACATTTTTTGATCTAGGATGTATTTGTTGTAGATAATCACTGAGAAGCTTAGGAGAATCCATATGGATACGTATGTGTATGAAAGAAGCACTTTTTTCATCACACTTTCTGATACTGCCATTGTTTTTGATTTGTGGTGAAATTGGGTTTGGAAATGAAGTTATTAAGGAAGAGATTTGGACTATTTAAGGTTGTTGGGTTTTCTTTTTCTGTACGATTTCTTTTGAGTGATTCTAGTTGACGTTTTTGTTTTGTAAAAAAGAATTACCATATTTTGGTGCTTCATATTGCTTTTGTTAAATTGTGAAAGATAATTTTACCTTTTTTGTTTTAAAAATTATCTCTCATTCTATTAAAAAAAATGTTTTTTAATTCAGTTAATAATTAATTAATAATTAATGTATCTGATTACTTATTTAATAAATTAAAAAACAACTATTTTTTAATAAATATAATAAGAGAAATTAATTCAATAAAATTTGATTTTAATAGTATGTTTGGATACGCGTCCAACTTCTCTTTCGCGTGTTTCAAAACTATGCCAACGTGAAAATTGAGAAGCAACAAAGCTACAAAACTTATCTTATGTGTTAACTTGAGAATCCAACGTGTTTTTGGCCATTATAACGCGTATCCAGAGTTGATTCTAGGTGTAGGTCACCAAGACTATCGTCTAAATTACACTTTTAGCCTCTTGGTTTTGTCAAACTCACGAAAATAATCCTTTTGTTTTGGAATATCACCAAAAACACGTTGATGTGTATTTTTTTTAATACGTGGCTGAAATGTGCTTACGTGGTAATAGGCATATGTAATATTTTCTTTAATGAATATTTTTATAAGATGAAACTTAAATAATTATATTTTAGTATTTTCTAAATGTAATAAAATGCAATATTCATGAGTGTACCCAGCAAACAAGAAATGCGAAGAACACTTTGAGCTGCGAACGAAGAACAACATTGCGAATGAAGAACGAAGAACACTGCGAACCCATAACACTGCGAACAAAGCACATAAAGAAGGGAAAATAATCACCAAGTGTTCTTTGATTTGTTTAGTTTATCGATTGTTGTTGTTGTTGATGAAAACAAATTCTAAACCTTAACTTCAGTTTTATTCTAAAACAGCTTTGGAATGTCAATCCCTAATTTCAAATCTAAACCCTCATATTGGACAAAGGAAGATCCAAAATTTTGTTCAAGGTGTGTATATTGAAAACTAGAATGAAAATCATATGTTCTGCTATGGTATGATGTTAATTGTAATTTCTGCTATGATATATGTTTTGTATATGTTCTTCTATGTAATTTATGCCATGGTTGTATGTTAGTTGCATTGGTATGTACTTATATTATATAGTTGTTGTCGTTTGTTCATTTTGTTTTGGTGTAGGTCAGCTAAGATAAATGCAGTCAAACTTAGAATTAATCATGGAAAGAGTTTACTTCATTATCCTTGCAAGCTATATGTAGATGGAAAGGTAGATGAAATGAACTGGAAATGGGATGTCGATTTGATTTCATACATGGAGATTTTCGAAGTAATTAAGTCACTGAGTTATGTAAGAGCCAAATGTATATGGTACCACGATCCAAAGTTTTCACTTGAGCGCAGACTTAGGCCTATGAACAATGATAAAGATATACTAAAATTTGGGGAAGATATGAAAGGTTATGATTATGCTGATATCTATGTTGATCATATAGTAGATGAACCTGAAGTTGTAACAAAAGATGAAATAAGAGAGTATGTTGAAGTTCAACAAGAAACAATAAATGTTGACTCAGATGATGAAGTACATCTTGAGGATAATGACGAAGACAATGTTGAGGAAATGGAGAAAGTCCAGCTTGAGCAGAGAGAAGAAGTTCAGGGTGAGAAAAGTGAGGAAGATGAAGACTTTGTCCAGGATGATAATGATGATTTAGATGATAATGAATTCAATGAGCTAGATGAAGATGATTGAGATTGGACACATGCAATGCCTAGCCATACATTCATGCAAGAAGAAAATGATGCAAACAATATCTCTCAGACACAAGAACCAACAAAAGTATCTGATTTTGATGAAGACAGTGATGTTGACTCAGATGAACTAGAAACTCCACAAGGAAGTGAAAAAAAAGTGATGAACATAATTATCCCAAATTTAAAATGCCTGATTGTGGTAAGGTGTTGAGGCTTGGCAGTTTGTTAGAGATGCTATCAAGACATATGCAACGAAGAGGAATGATAGAAAAAGAATAGTTATCAAGTGCGATAATGAATGCCCTTTTCACATGAGATTTAATAAAAGGGTAGTCAACCAATCCTGGCAGTTGGTGAGCCTGACTAATGATCATACTTGTCATAGGACTGCCAAGAATAAGCAATCTAAAAATGACTGGCTAGCTAAGAAGTTTATATCGGTCCTTAGCATTACACCTGAAATGAGACCAAAAGGATTGGTTGCAGAGTCACTTAAGAAGTGCGGTGTGAAGCTCTCATCAACTCAAGCATATAGGGCTAAAAAAATAGCATTGGAGCTAATTCAAGGTGTTGAGACTGAGCAGTATTCTAACTTGAGAAATCATGCTGAGGAATTGAGGAGATCTAATCTTAATAGTACAATGATGATTAAGTGTGATGTGTCTGATATTGGACCTATTTTCGAGAGAATATATGTATGTCTTAAGGCGTGCAAAGCTGCATTTGCATATACTTGCAGACCTTTAATTGGTATGGACGCATGTTTCTTGAAGGGTGAGTATGGTGGTCAGTTAATGGCAGCGGTTGGGAAAGATAGAAATAATCAAATTTATCTGATTGCTTATGTTATGGTTGAACCGGAGACAAGAGACTCGTGGAAATGGTTTTTGAATCTATTACTACACGATATGAATAATTTGTTGGAAATATCATATGGTTTCATTTCATACCAACAGAAAGTATAAAACTCTTACATATTTTAAGTTTGTTAATTTTGCATGTCCATTATTATTAAATCTATTATATTTATATAGGGTTTGGTTTTAGCTATTGTTAATCTTGGGCCAAATGTATAACCCAGACTATGTGTTAAACATTTATATGGGAATTAAAAGAAAAAAATATCCAAGTACACACATGAAAGAGCTACCTGGCAGGCAGCTAGGGCAACGACTGTTCAGGATTGGGAAAGAGTTATGCAAAAAATAAAAGATATAAATGAATATGTGTGGAGATACGTGATGGAGATTCCACCTTCCATGTGAGCTATGGATTGCATTGTCAAAATTGTCAAAACATTGTATCTCAATAGAACTTAGTAACAAAACATGGTATCACAACATTGAAGAATTATGGGATGCATTATGTTAGCAATGTATTATCAGAACATTGTATCAAAACAAAATAATTATGGAATGCATTATGTTAAAGTGACATAACCAAAGTAACACAATATTGTATCACTGTGACAGAAGAGTTGTAGAACAATATTGTCAAAGTATTGCTACATTAACAACATAGGTAGCACCTTACAACAGAACATCAAAGTAACACCAATTAAACTCAAACCTTAGTACAATAACCTCAGTATAATAACCTTACAATATTAACCTCAACCTTACAACAATGACATCTAAACCTAAACAAATCCTTTTGTGATCAACTTGATGATAAAAAAATCAAGATAGAATTAACAATATAATCAACAACTTTTTCTTCTTCTTCATGTCATCATCACTCTTCTTTGTTAAACTATCTTTCTTCTTCAACTCATTAACCTTATTCAAAAACAAGTTAATCACTTTCATTGACCGTTCCAGAATCTTGTCATCGTACCAATAAAAAAAAGAACAATCTTTCTTCCCTTGTAATTGAATGAAACAGATAAGAAGGTGGGATTAAGCAAGAAATTATCCATAAATGTTTGAATTCAGAAGATGAATAAAACTAAAAATTAGGGTTTTAGACGCACCTTGAATAACCCACAACCATATAACCTCCTACTTGGATTCTCAGATGTCCATGCAATTGTAAGTGGTGAATCCAAACCACAATAACATTGGATCATTCTCCTCCTAGAATGACATGAAGAATTTATAACTTCCACAGACTCAGAACCCATGACACCAGACACAAATTAGGGTACATATGAAATGGGAAGTTGAACACGATGACCTAGATTCATCTTTGTTAAATAGACATCTAAAAAATAAAACTTTTTTAATTTGTTTTTCTAATTTAGTAATGACACGGTAGCAAATTAAATCCATGTGAAAGCACATTTTAGTCAGGTATTAAAAAAATGACACATCAACGTATTTTTGATGATAATTGGGCTAGGAGGACCAAAACTATTTATAAAATAAACAAAGACTATTTTCGTGAGTTTGGCAAAACAGGGGGACCAAAATTGTAATTTAACATTTTTTTAAAATATATTTATATAATTTTAGTTAATTAATAAAAAAATTTTAAAATTATTTTTTATACTAATTATAGAATAGTATTTGTTTTGGACTGGGCCAGGACCTGCCCATCGGTCGGGCAGGCCCAACCCAACACTACGTTGGGAAGGCCCAATAGGGTCCAATCCTCCCATGTCGGGCACGTGACATATACGTCGGGAAGACGACTCCCTTGACGGGCAGACTCACACGCTTTCCCCACATTCTCCACGTGCTCCCCCACACGGGGGACACGTCATCAGACAACTATCCACCTCTGAAATAGCTGGTCAGCCCACCTTCTGAAGACCACAGGGCAGTTGATCTAGAGCGAAAACCACATGCTGGTCTTCACTACGGCACGTAATCCCTAGCAGTTACTTGGGTCAGGCCTGACAGTCTGGCCCAATGCAAGTAACCGTTGGACCTGTGTTAGGGTCTCACTATAAATACCCTCTCTCACTAGAGGGTTAGGTATTCTATCCTCTACACCTACTTCTGTATTTTCTCTCCCAGTCCGATCCTTTACTTGCTTAAGCATCGGAGTGCCTTGCAGGTACACCCCCTCATTCTCCCTACCTCCGTTGGAAGTTACAAGTCAACAACGCGTGGCAGGCCAATGATCCCTTCTGTTCAGGTACGACCAGTGGCGCCGTCTTTGGGAAACTAATGCTTCCCCGTTATCTCGAGCAGTAGAACCAAAGCTTTCATCAACTTCTGTAATCATGATCAGCCCACGCCACGACGATTCTGTCTACAATTCCGCCTTTGACCCGCTCAACAATGGTGAAGATCAAGGTGGGCCCGTCAACAACCATGACAGTGACGTTAGGGAGGGCAGACTTCCTCTCCTTCATCTGACGACACGACACGCAACGTCGCCCCTCGAGCAAGGAGCCCAGCTACTTTCCAGCCCGTCCCTACACCAACAGGGGCAGACCCGACGATGACTGCCCTCTTTGCAGCCATCAACCAGACTAACTTGATGTTGTTCCAGCAGAACGAGCGTATCAGGATGCTAGAACAGGATCATTCATCTCGCTCTCCCCTGCGGAGAACCCAACACGAGGATTCCCAGAGCCCCTCTCCCCGTCAACGAGGGTGTCGACCGCAATTGGAGAGACCCCAAACCGTGGCCTCCAAGAAGCGCGACAGGTCACCTCCTCGAAAGGAGAGACGCTCATCGGCCCGGAGGAAGAGCATACCTGATGGTCCGAGTAAGAGGATGAAGGGTCGGGGTCAGGTACCTCAACCTAATCCTTCCCCCTCACGCTTCCCTGTTTGAAGTGACGAGGAAAGTCACAGGACTCCCTTGTCGCGAGAGATCATGGAGACCCCCATCCCCCACGGGATGGAGAAACCGCCCGCCCTCTCCACCTTTGATGGCACGACGGTCCCAGACGACCATCTGGAAGACATCAAAGCCATGCTCGACTATCGAAATGTCTGAGGAGCCATAAAATGCAGGCTCTTCCTGACGACTCTGAGAAAGGGAGCCATGACATGGTACAAGAGCCTGGAGCCCGAATCCATCACCTCGTGGAGGGTGCTACAAGATCTCTTCTCACAACATTTCACGGCATCCTGGCGCCATCCAAAGACGGAAGTTGCGTTGGGCGCGATAATCTAAGCCAAGGATGAATCTCTTAGGAATTACATCGAGAGATTCACCACGGAGGCAGTCCAGGTAACTATGTCCGACGACATGAAGTGTTACTTAATGGAGCAAGGGCTGCAACATGGCTCCAAGTTAGTCGAGGTTGTGTCAATCCACCAACCAACCACCCTCCAAGGCTTCCTCAGAAAAGCCCGAGCATACATTTGGTTTGAGGATATCGAAGCTGCCAATTCCGTCAGAGACTCTTAGAACCGCAAAGCTGCTCGTGGCGCTCGGGAAGAAGAAGCACCAGCCCCCTGGCGCATGGGAGATCAAAGACGAGATGATCGTCCCTGGGAACCTCGAGAACAGAGGGGCTCTGCAGGTTGATTCATTGAGTACACGACCCTCATAGCTTCCTGCGAGCGCATCCTGGTCGAGTGTTCCAATTCCGAGTTTGTAAGGGGAGGTGTATGTTTCCTTAAACCGGCACCTTCTAAAGCTAATGTGGACAAGTTCAAGTACTTCCGCTTCCACCGTGGCCACAGATGTGTCACCGAGGATTGCATCTATCTCAAGGATGCGATCAAGATACTCATCAAGGACGGGCACTTGAAGAGGTACACCAGGGGAGGAGAAACCCCTCGAAATGAGGCCCACAAAGCCAAAAGGGTTAAAGACGTGCCTCCGCCCACCAACGACATCGGACTGTAAGTGGCCCTCAGTATAAGCCGACTTGAAGACTTTTTCTATCTAACAGAACACAACTTCCCTGCCAGGCTCCAGCTTCCCGAGGAACCAATACGCCCTATCAGCCTGTGGGAATACTTCCCTACCGCAATGGTCATCTCCGGCGGGGCCCCAAACAAACTCTCTGTCAGGTCCGTAAAGAGGAAGTTCGACGAGCTGATGAGAAAAATCTCCAGCAAGACGAGAACCCTCGACAAGTTCCATGGTAGGTCTAACCCAATCACGTACTAGCTCGAGGAGCTTCCCGGGGAAGCCCCTAACGCCGCTATTCCTCTACTGATCCGTGCGCAGATGGCAAACTTCGGCGTCTGTTGTATCTTGGTCGACGGGGGGGGGGGGGGGGGGGGGGGGGGGGGGGGGGGGGGGAGCTCAGTGGATATCATGTACACCCACATGTTATCGACATTGCGGCTCAACGAGACCAATTTGACTCCTTATGTCGATTCCGACCTCCAAGGTTTCAATGGGACGACGACGAGGCAATGAGGGTATATGGAACTCAAGGTCGTCTTCGAGACAAATGAAACGGCCAGGGAGATTAACATCCACTTCCTAGTCGTCGAGTGCCCATCACTGTACAACTACATCTTAGGCAGGATGATCAATGCATTTTGGTGCACTTTCCTCAATGTTTAGACCTAGACATTTCTATAGTCTAGTTTGTTTAATTTCCTATTTCATGATGTTTTTACAATTCAATTTATTTTCACCTTTATTTGATTTTCATTTGTTATTTTCAGCATTAGCAGTTTTTAATAAAAAAATTCATAACTGGAGCTACAGGAATCGGATCGAGGCGTTCTACCATTCGTTGGAAAGCTTAGGAAAAGATATACAACTTTCTTGTTGCACGAAGAAGATGATTCGGATTGCTTGAGTCTCGAATAATTCGTTAAAGTTTATGACTTGTGATAACGTAATTGTTTTTCCCTTTTGGGTCTAGTTTAGGTTTCAGACCCAGTTGAGTGGGTAATGTAAACCTTTTTTTTGTTTATAAGGTTACTGTCGTGCTACAATGATGGCTACCCTAGTTTTTCACGAATTTTTATTTTTTGCTTTTCATAATTTCTATGGCGAACTAATCCCGAGGGAAAATCTGCCGGTTTCAAATTCCGTAATCCTTTGAGGTTTATTATAAATTTCGATTTAATTTAATCCCGCTCCAATTCATTTTATAGCTTTGTTTGCTTAATTCTTTATTATAAGATAAATTGGATTTAATTTGATCGATCAATGTTCCTTAACTTAATCGCGGATTAACTTAGCTTTTTCATTAGTTTGCGTC